ACTTTTTTTTTTTTTTTTTTTTTTTGGTACTGGGGATTGAACTCAGGGCCTTATACTTGTGAGGCAGGCAGCGGAACCACTGAGCTAAATCCCCAGCAAAGAATAACTATTGATGTTTCTTTTTTAAAAGACATAATTTAATTGAATTTACCTGAATTTGATTTTTATCGTTATGTAAATGATTAATTGGAATACAAAAGTATTCCTTCATCTAAATTTTAGAGCAATTAATTCTTTTAAGAAATTCTGTTTAGACCTTTTATGAGGGCACTGTGTTCATTTATCTACTTATAAGTGGGATATTTGATAATTTGAAGATGATAAAATTTTTGTTATTAGGCTCATAGTTGAGTGGTCTTTTTAAATATAGCATTAAAATGTGCATATTAAGTTGTATTCTGTTCTAGAGTGAAGAATGTTACCTTTGCCTAGAATAACAATGTGTATAATATTGTTACATGAAATATGTTATATGAAATAGAGAAATATGAACCCTTATTTTAAAAATTTGAATTTTCTTATAAAATCCTATAGGAATAAATTTGAAAGTTTTCCCTTATTTATTATGTATATTCATGTTTCTAGTATCTATTAATTGATCATTACAGTTTTCTCATTTTCTTTCAGATATAGGCATGGACCACCAAGCTCTTCTAAAACAATTTGATCACCTAAACCATATGAATCCTGACAAGTTTGAATCCACAGATTTAGATATGCTAATCAAAGCGGTGAGAGCAGTTCCAAAAATTGTCTTTACTGTGCCTTTGTATTTTGTACTTTATTTATTTATTTTTGGTACCAGGGATTGAACTTGGGACCGTTCACTTGTGAGGTGGGCATCAGAACCACTGAGCTAAATCCTTGTCCTTGTAGTTTGTACTTTAACCAGTAAACTCAAGTGAAAACTGAAGTGGGACTATAACATATATCCTCTAAAATTGGTGATGCAGTTTTGTTTTGTTTTTTTTTTTAAGGAAGTACAAGGGATTGAACCCAAGGAGCTACATCTCTCACCCTTTTTTATTTTTTATTTTGAGATAGGGTGTTGCTCAGTTTCTAAATTGTCCGGGCTGAGTTGGAATTTGCAGTCCTTCTGCCTCACCTGACCAGAGTGCGAAGATTACAGGCATCAATCACAACTCCCAGATAAAATGTGTATTTTTAAAGGAAGGTAGCATAAAGTTTATTTGTACAGGTTTCATTATGAAGGTACAGATCTACAGTCCCTTACTCTTAATTCCAAAATTGAAAAAGATGAAAAAACTAAAACTTGGCTAGCCTGAACTAACCAATTATAGAAATGTTATTTGTAATCTTCACCTTGTCTACTTAGTATATTTATGGATTTTGTTAAATACTAATTTTTTTTGCAATATCATCATAGATACTGCAAGCATATCTCATATGGCATATGTACCATATTCCTTTTCTAAAATCTGGAAAATTCTAAAACATCTGGCCTCAGGGACTTTAGATGAAAGTTTGTGGGTCTCTCATATTGTGTTTGAAAGGAATTACCAAATTACGCATTAGAATCTGGCTTCAGATTTAGTGCCATGGTTAGAAATAGTTCTAATTTTCTGTATTATCCAATCTTGATAAGTCCCTTTTTACTCTTTCGTCTCTAAATTAATGTATATATTTCTTGCTTATGGGAAATTTCTAAAAGTGAAGCTGACTTTGTACTTCTATTTTCTTTGAATTTTTACATCTCTGGTAACAATAGTGACTAAAATAAAATGGTAGAATTAACGAAGATTAGTCCAGTATGGTTTTGTTTTCCTATACCACTTTCTGTTTGAGAGTCTGTTGTGATTGAGTGACTTTATTTATACTTTCAAAACCTTTTTAAAAAGTTTAATTCAGATGCATCATTGAGCTAGGAATGGTGGTACACACCTATAATCCCAGTGACTTAGGAGGCTGAGGCAGTTTTGCAAATTCAAGCCCAGACTGGGCAATTTATTAAGACCCTCTCTCAAAATGGAAGAAAAAGTGATAGGGTATAGCTCAGGGCTATAACACCCCCTGTAATAGTCACATATATTAAAAAAAAAAAACCAAATACATTATTGAATTCTAGGCAACAAAAGATTTGGAACAGTATGACAAGACTCGACACGAAGAATTCAAAAAATATGAAATGATGAAGGAACATGAACGGAGAGAATATTTAAAAACACTAGATGAAGAAAAGAGAAAAGAAGAAGAATCTAAATTTGAAGAAATGAAGAGGAAGCATGAAAATCATCCCAAAGTTAATCATCCAGTAAGGATTGTAACTTTATGAAACCATTTTTACATGAAGATAAGATTTTATACCAGATAGAATTTTATCCCAAGTTAATCATACTTAAATTTTGATCTTTAATTCTGCAAATTTTCCCAAACTTATATCTTATTTTGAGTCTATATACATAGATTATATTTTGTTTTGAGCAATTTTTTAAAATTGGTTCACAGGGAAGCAAAGATCAACTAAAAGAGGTATGGGAAGAGACTGATGGATTGGACCCTAATGACTTTGACCCCAAGACATTTTTCAAATTACATGGTAACAGATTTGATACAAATATTGATATTTATATCTGCTATTTGAAAAAAATTATATTTTCTTTTAAGTGGTTTCTACCAAGGTTGGTTATTGAGTCCTTTCAACAGTAAATGCCTGGAGTTTTTTTCTAGGGTAATATGATAGTCTTTATTGCTGAAAGGCAGTATAAAATATTTTGGATCAATAGCTGTCTTTCTACCGCTATTTTTATTGTGTCATTATATGGTTTATTGCAAAGTTTCTGTAAACTGAAGGTAATTCTGTGGCTAGTTACATTGTATCTAAAGCTCTTTACACTATAATATTAAAGTTTACTTTTACTCTGTAGCATATTGCTTTGCAATATCTTTTTGGGAAAACGGTTAAGATATGTTTTTCTAAAAAATGATCGTGGATTATAAATACAGAATTGTTTCTACTTGGGCCGTTCTAAAAGCTTTGTGAGAAAGGAGAAATCCCCTTCTGACAGCATAATGTTGCTTCGTGGTAGTACTAATTTGCAAATCATTTGTAACTACATTTATAATTATTTGCTAAGAGTTTAAAATCCATTTTTGCATCTGTAACTTTTAAACTTTAGATGTCAATAGTGATGGATTCCTGGATGAGCAAGAATTAGAAGCCCTGTTTACTAAGGAGGTAAATTAGTTTCCTACATATTCAGTGTTTTATTTTGTTTTGGGTATCAGGGATGAAACTCGCACTTGGAAGGCAGGCAAACCACTGAGCTAAATCCCCAGCCCCGTATTCAGTGTTCTTATCTTATCTCATTTTATCTTACTTTCTTGTCACTGAGACTAGTGCCTGACACCCACAAATTGAAGGAAGAGAGATTATTTTGGCTCCCAGTTTGCAGAGGTTTCAGTAGGATAGCCTGGGAAAGAGGGACAGTGGAAGAAAAGTAATTACCTCATGGCAACCAGGAAGCAGAGATAGTGAAGGGAAGAGCTAGGAAAGGAGATAAGCTTTCCAGGCCTCACCCCAATGACCTGATCTTCTCATAGACCCCACCTCCTATTAGCAAGTCAGCTGTAAACTCCATAATCCAGTCACCTTCCAAGCCCCACCTATGAGCACATGAGGGTCTTGGGGGGAGGCATATAAATATAAAGCCTGACACATTTTTTCCTTTCCATTACTTTCTTTCCTTTCGTGTTGATTTTTAAATTTTCTTTTTAGTTGGAGAAAGTGTATGATGCCCAAAATGAAGAGGACGACATGGTGGAAATGGAGGAAGAAAGGCTTAGAATGAGGGAACATGTAATGAATGAGGTATATTTTAAAAGTTTAAGGTATTTTATTTCTTTTC